TTATCCAACTCTGCTTTGGAAAGAAAGATTTTAAAACCTTCTTGATTCAAAGATTGATCTGAAGATATTAAGGAGACTGAGCTTTCCTGGGGGTTTGTATGACTTTCTCCCAGAATTACCTACAGGGATGTAGCTCTCTCTGAAATGCTGTAGGCAAGTCCAAAACTTTGTTAAAACATAAGATACTTTTTGTCTTAATGTCATATGATTAGAGAATTTTACGGAACCTTTGAGTCTGAAATAACACAAAGCACTTCACAATAACAGTTGGTTTCCTACAACTTTAGGACTTGTAATTACCCAGTACAACAGTAATTTTGAATTGGCAATATCTTGATGAGGAGACGAAACAAACACTGCAGCACATGAGTGAACTTGACTTTGAGTCCAATTTTGCTCCCTGGGAAGGAAGTATATTTTGACTTGAAAATTGTATGTGGTGAGTGACTGTACAGCCCCTGGATGACATGGGGGAAGAGAAATTCTTCTCTACATGGGAGTTTGTTGTCACGTCTGCTTTGAAAAGAGCTTCATTGTTTCACCCCTAAAGAATGAAAAAATCCCAGTGTAAGAACACACTCGTGAATTTTTCTTCCTGTTGTCTACTGTAAAAAAATGACCTGTACAACTGCAACTAGTGAATTTGTGCCTCTGTTAAGGCTATAATAGGGCTGTAACTAGCAGTGATCAAAAATTCATTAATTTTGTGTTGTATGTGGCTTTTTTTCTCAACTAAAATGTGATTTACAGCCAGGCTGATTAGTGCAGTGGACAACAAAGGCACTGCACAGAGTTTCATTGCTTCTGCAAAGTTATGGTGCTTAGGCATCTTAAATCTCCCATTCTACTTTATTCTTCTGGGTTTTGTCTATTCTTTTCTTTAGGTGACACATCTTGTCATAGTAAAGCTGTTCAATTTGAGAAATTAGTTCCATATCTGCCTTTGCCATCACAGACTTCAGTCCTTTCTTAACACAGCCAATGAGCCCCATGAGCAGAAAAGTTCTGCTTTGGGGGTTTGCAGCTCATCTCTAGTAATTGTCCCTGTGTTGGTTAGCCACAGTGGCTGCCACAGGCACCTTCAGGTCTCCTGGTTAGGGAAGGAGGAGAGGGGGGATGGACAGCACAGCCTGTTCTTTCTTGCCTTCTCTCCCAACCAGTTGGCTCATGTTTGTCACCATTTCTACCCAGGGATGCCACACACAGACACAGTGGCCAGTTCCAGTGCCATGTGCTGAATTAGGTCACCTCAACATCTGACCCAACACCAACAGCTACAAGACACCACTGACCAATCTGAACCTTCTCCTTGCTCATCTGCACAGGCCTTCAGGGCCAGTGTGAGAGCCCCAAGGTTATACCCCTTCAGCTCTCGTCCTTTTTTAAGCTCTTGAGTTCTGCCAGGCCACCCCAATGTTAATTTTGATTTGAGGTCTGCCTGGGATAGACCTGATAAATGCAGTTTATGCATATGTGCCTACACCAGCTACCCAAAGCCCTTTGCTGAAATCTTTCCTTTCGTGGGACACAGATAAAAAGCTTTAGCAGAAACGCTGAGGGAAAGATGTGCTCACAGCACATGCCAGTGGAGGCATACAGACAAAAACCTGAAGCAACCACACCATAAAATATTGCTGTTGTCATCTGGGCAGGTCCCAGGGGAGAAGAGCCTCCTTGCAGGATGAACACCACCCAGCTCACTCTGGAGTTCAGCACTTGAGGTGTTTGGCCTGGATCTGTCACCAACGATCTCACTGTGCTGCTGGAACTTCTGGTGACAAGACCAGCAGCAGCAATGTAGTCGTGGTCCTTGGAAAATTCCATAAATATCAGAAATATCTGTCTGCTAAGAGTATCTTGGAAGGGGAGGACAGTTGACTGTGGAAACCCTCTGCTCAGGAGCAAGAGGGCAGGGCAAAAGTTGAAGGACCATGTGTCCAAGCACCAAAAACTGGTAGGGTGTGTGTCTGTGATGTTCTAAAGGTGATCTTCAGCCAGAGAGACACTGTGCCCAGAGTGAGGTCTGGGAACTGGGAGAGATGGGTCTTAGGTGCCTGTTTTCACTCCAGGGGTTTTATCCAAGTAGATTCTGTGCCCAAAAACCTGCAGGGTCTGAGTTCACCTTGTCAGGCTTCCCTTTCCCTAGCCCTGCAGAAATATCTGTTAGAAAGACAATTTGAAACCATATTATAATGAACAAAGATGATGAATAATTCCCAGCACTGACTGTCCTAAAGCGTGCTGGTTAGTCCAGGGTCCATCTCCCTTCTGTGGTAATTATCTCTGAGCTCGATTAGTATTATCTCAGATAAGCTATCTTTAATGCCTGCATATGGCCATGTCTGTGGGCAGGGGTTGGATGTTTCAGGGGTGCCTGTGGCTGTCATCTTTCTCCAGATTAATCTGGTGGCTTGACTTCCATCTGATGGCATTGCTGGTTCTGGACCAGCACAGACACCTATGGAGCCTAAATGCCAACTCCAGGGTGCTGCTCCCACCCCGAGGTGCTGCTCCCATGGCAGGATGAGGTGCTCCCCATGCAGCAATGCAGAACCCCCTCGATGTGCCACCCTGTGCTGGGAGGGGACAATCAGCACCAGGTCACGGCCAGGACTGAGCAGCTCACAGGGCACCTTAAAACAAATGATGCTCCATGGATCCAGCTGTGAGTGGATCAGAGTCCAGAGAGCTGGGAACAAGTGGGAGTGAGCACAGAGCCCTGTGCTGGAGGGGGCTGGAAATGCTGTTGCTGGCAGGGATGTGGAGGAGCAGCCAGGATCACCCTGCAGAGTGCCACCATTTCCTCCAGCTACCTTCCATCTAAGATCAGCTCTGCTGCACTTACTCTTGGCAGGCAAAACAGCTGCATCTCTCTCCTTAAAAAAACCACAAAACCCCCTGTGAAATCCAAGTCTCCCTGCAAACACAACACGTAGCTGACACAGAACTGATTATTTTGCTAAACTGACTTGCAGCAAGTACTTTTTATATCATGACACTGGATTGTGATGCACAAAAGAAAATCAAATTCTTTTCCCTCTGCATGCCCCATAGTTGTCAGAATCATTGCCTCTCTTTGTTTTTCACATACAGTAACTAGGCATAGATGCTTTAAATACCCTCTTGTTCCTCCTCTCAGGATGCCAACGAGCAATGAATAATGAAATAAAAAATTTTCCAGTGAATGGCCAAGACCCAGCAGAGAATTTTAACTGGTGAAGAGAAACAGCATAAGAGCTGCATGACAATAATCACCACTACTGCTAGATGAAGCATTTCTCCCTGCTGGCCTCGTGCAGGGCACAAGGGGAGTGTAGAAGGGTAGACAGTGCCAGTGTCCTGAGCCCTCTGCCCACGTCCTGCACTGCCTCAGCCCTCCCAACCCCAGCAGGACTGGCACCTTCTGAGCCCTGATGCCAAGTGATCCATCAAAGCAACGACTTACAAATACAATAGTGGACTCTAGGAGCATTTTTCAGTGGGTAAAAACGTGTTTCCTTTCTCCTTCCAAAAACACGTGGCTGGTTCACGCTCCAGTTTTTGAGGCGCTGTGTTCATTTTAGGGGGATGTGCTGTTGGCTGGTTCACGCTCCAGTTTTTGAGGGGCTGTGTTCATTTTAGGGGGATGTGCAGCCCACAGAAGTGCACACAGCTACACACACACACACACACTTCTCCTGTGTGACTCTGTTGTATTTAGATGGTTTTACCAGACTGCTGTAATATTATCAGAGAACCATTTAGGTTAGAAAAGACCTTTAAGATCCTCCAGTCCAGCTGTTAGCCCAGCACTGCCAAGTCCAAATCTTTCACACTGCTGGAAAAGGTTAATTTGTTTGTTGAACACAAACAACTGGCAATGCCTTAAGCTGTTCACTATTTCCCTTTGCTTGATACCAGCAGCTTTTCTCCTCCTGCGACTCGCTCTGGAGCTTTCCTCACCCCTTTTTTTCAACTGATCTCCAGCACTATATTATTTATGAATAAAGGTCACCCCGTGAGGAAATGGCACATCTACTAGAAAACAATGTGCACTTTCTAAATTTGAACCGAGTCGTTTCCGTTCTTTGATTTAAGTTTAGTTACTTCCTGTGGTTTCTTGTCCTACGCCGCTGCCGAATCTTTGGATCGACTCCAGGATAAATTGCACTCTTTCAATGAAATTAGAGACTGCGGCGAGAGCAGCTCAGCGAGAGCAGCAAACAGCTCTCCAGCACAGCACTCAGGAGTGTCTCATTGCCTGCCTGAGGTGATGGACCAAGCCTGGCCCGTGTGGGTGCTGTCCTGGGAGCTGCACCCTTCGCTCCCAGCCTGGTTTGCCACCAGACAAGCTGCTGAGCAGGAGCTTCCACCTGCCACGGGAGGGATGAAGGAGCCTGTGGATCCAGTGGCTCCTGATGGAGACAGGACACTTCCTCACCAAAATCAAGCACCTTCCCTCTGGCAGGTTCTGGATTAGCAAGGACAGGTCCTGCAGAGGCCCAGAGCTACGTGCTCAGCCATCCTCCAAAGAGCCTCGCTACCAGGCCAACACTCCCATGAACCACAATCTTGCAGTAGGTTTTTAGGGATCAGGGTCAATTGGGGAAAACTCCCAGAGCTTAGACAAGTCATTTCAGGCAGTTTGCTGACGAAACCACATGGGAATATACTCCAGTAGCCCCAAGATGTGCTTTCCCTCAGTAGAAACTGAGTGGGCACTCCAGGAGCCTGCAAGGAGTGCAGCCCTCCCAGGGGCAGAGGAACTATAGATGGCCAAGATTAGGGAGAGGAACACGGTAGCAAAGGAGGAGTGAGGCACTTTAGACCTGACTCCTTTGCACACAAGTTTACCTTATGAGACCTTCTGCATAATGCCCAACCTCAGTAACGAGCCCCGTTGGGCAGGGCTTGTGGGTACCTCAGTAACCATGTGCTCTTTCTCTCCCCCACCCCTTCTCTCTCCTTTCCTTCCCCCAGGACACTTAAGCACAGATTTTTCACCAGTACTCAGCCTGCTTTCTCAATGGAGCCCAGGATTCCCCACAACATCACCGTGGTCCCCAACGCCGTGATGGTGCAGCCCTTGCTGGACAGTCGGATCCCCTACGGGCGGCTGCAGCACCCGCTCACCATCCTGCCCATCGACCAAATGAAGACAACTCACATCGAGAACGACTACACCGACAACCCCACAGCCTCCCAGCTGGCGGCCCAGAAACGGCCCCGAGCCCCCCACGAACTGGTCCTGAGCAACCAGCACCTGCAGCGCTGCGAGCAGGATGTCACCCACCCCTGGATTTCCTTCAGCGGGCGCCCCAGCTCCATCAGCAGCAGCAGCAGCACATCCTCAGACCAAAGACTCCTGGACCACATGGCCCCAGTGCCCGTGGCAGAGCAGTCCTCGCCCCGAGCGGTTCGCATCCAGCCCAAGGTGATTAACTGCAAACCCCTGGACCTGAAGGGACCCGTGTCTCAGGAGCTGGACAAGCACTTTCTGCTATGTGAAGCCTGTGGGAAATGCAAGTGCAAGGAGTGTGCGCTGCCCCGGACTCTGCCCTCGTGCTGGGTGTGCAACCAAGAGTGTCTCTGCTCGGCACAGAACCTGGTCAACTACTCCACCTGCATGTGTCTCGTCAAGGGCGTCTTCTACCACTGCACCAACGAGGACGACGAGGGCACGTGCGCCGACCACCCCTGCTCCTGCTCCCACTCCAACTGCTGCGCCCGCTGGTCCTTCATGAGTGCCCTGTCCCTGGTGCTCCCCTGCCTGCTCTGCTACCTGCCAGCCACCGGCTGCGTCAAGCTGTCCCAGAGATGCTACGACCACGTGAGCCGGCCTGGATGCAGATGCAAAAACACAAACAGTGTCATTTGCAAGGCATTGCCCGAGAGCAAAGGGCCAGAGAAGCCCTTTTGATGGTTTGGGGGGGACGGGGAGCGGGAGGAGGCTCCGCGGGGCAGGGTGGTGCTGGCTCTTTCTAATAACCTGTGTTCTGAGGGTAGTGTTAGCCTCTTGTCTTCGGAGAAAGCAGAAGCAACTCTTTCCACAAACTGAAGCACTTTGGGTTATTCAGGGTTTTTGGAACCGGTCGCAGTTGAAATAGATGGGGCCAAAGGAGGAATGTTAATAAGGCCGAGTGAAGGCTGAAAACCTCTGTAGATGGTGAAGTACAGCTGCTTCAGACTGGTTTGGATGGATGGCTGCTCCCCATGCCTGCACACCACAGGAACCATTAACTGCTCGCTTGGCAGGCACGGCCGCACAAGCAATACCCATTCCCAGCTGCAAAAAGCTGCTTTGGATTCATATTCAGGGCGGGATTCTTGTTTCCGCTTTCCTTCCAAACTCCGACTCGCTCCCAACAGCCTGTTGAAGGTGACAGGGTAACTCCCTCCACCTTCCTTCCCCTCCTGCACACCGTTGGAAGGGCTGGTTGCACACAGAGTATGTGTTTCTCAAAAGCTTTCTGTGTCCCGCAATGATTTCTGAACCAGAAGTGAAGATACAGTTTGTTTCTTGAAGGGTCTTTCACCGTTTAGGCACATCCCACCTGGCCACACTGATCTGGACCCTCCTCCCAAAGCAAGGTGGTAGCAGAGCTGCTCCCTCGCGGGAGGAACAGCAGCAGGATATGTTCGGGCGGTTGTATCCACACCAGGTCCTCCTGCCTGTAAGCTGATACACAGCATCAGGTTTCACTCAATGGAATATGAATTTTCCATCAGCAGAACAGACCTGCTCCAGGAGGATGTTGGCCGAATCCCGTTCCCCACGGCGCTCGCTCGCTGCTCCAGAGCAAACGGAATCTCAGCTCACACCACAGTGCGAAGACAGTCGGTGTTTGTTTCTCTAAACCTCTTACTTAAGCTCTGGTAAGAAGTCACACAAACCTAAGTGTACGACACACATAGGTGTATTTTTCTAGGGATCTCACTCCAGTACCTCCCCCCCTGGAACAAGCTCTTCTTTGCTCATTAAGATCTGTTTTTTTTTGTTGTGGGGATGAAGGGCATTTGCTTGAAGTACAGCCCATTCCCCCACCCCTATTGCTGCTGTTTGACTTTTGCCTCCTCTGTACAGATGTGTCTTTTTAACTGTAAAGAATGCTTTTAATGTTTATTTTAGTGTTCGTACACGCTAGGGAGAGCCAGGCAAGCGAAGGGAGTGACGTTAACGGATGTGCCCATGGTCTTCAGTACACAAATACCATCAGCTCTGTCCATGCACTCATCCTACAGCTGGGACTGCCTTCCCTGAGGATGCAGTAACCCCTTAGGGTGCCATCACCCCTTTCTCTTGACAACTACAAGGTGCTAAACAAAAACCATTGTCCAAACATGCAACACTGATGAGTAGGTAGGTACTTGTTGCATGCAGAAAACTGATCTCGTCTCTTTTTGTGTTTTTAATTAGAGGAGATTTCCTCAGTAAATGCACAGCAGTGACAGTGAAATGTCATCTCTAATTAGATAAGCAATAGGCAGAGCTCATGTAGCATTTCCAGGAATCCCCTTGGCTAGGTTCTGATCCAGAGGCTGCGCAGGGGTTGGCAGGAGTGTACTGATGGGACTCTGGTGTCTGTGGGTTTCAGGATTCAGCTAACCTGGAAGACTTGGGGTTTAGTGAAGTTGAATTGTAGATATTTATTGAATGGGGGATTTAAAAAATCCCAACCAGCTTTCTATATTTATAACATTTGCTAGCTTGTACGTGAGAAACCACAGAAAAAGGGATATGTCTGTCACCAGTTCCTACAGCTTAGCCTCATGCTGACTGTACAGGCACACCAGGAGCCAGGCGGGGATCCAGAGCTCTATTTATTCTCTTGCACAAATTGGAGGGGAAAAGCTAAAAGGAAAACCAACCCCAAACTAGCTGAACTGTTGGTTGAATGTATAGAGTATCGTATTTAATAAGAGAAGTCATTTTCCTAAGACTCAAACAGGCTAGAAAACACAGCAGGAGAGGCATTACCTGCTGCCCTCCTCTGCTGGGACACGTGTCCAAACGGCCTCCACCCATGGGTGTTTTGCCTTTTTGACCCTCTGTCCCTGGCTCTTCCTGGAGCATCCGTGCTGAAAACCCACACTAGCAAAGCCCCTGGCTTGGCTGCATGGTCCTTGTGAGCAAAGACACCGCTGGAGTGGTCGCCACTGTGCCAATCTACACTCATGTACATACACCCAGCAAGCCCAGATGGATTTCCTTCCATTGTACATAGCTGTAAACTATTTCTCTGTTGGTTTGTTTTAATATATAAACCCTGTAAGCCGATCTTATGGTGGAAGACTGTAAAGCGTTAGTGGATGTGTTAGAGCAGTGGTCAGTGTAGCAGAGTGACCCTCCCTCTTCTCCTCAGCACCTCTCTCAGCCTCTGCTCCACCAGCTCCCAGCCCAGGGCATGGCAAGAGGGCACTGAGCCCCGTGAGGAGCTCCTGGAACGGGTCAGGCTCGGTGGAGGCAGTGGCTTTGACGGTGGTGCCAGCGGAGGGTGCAGCTCCTGTCAATAGTGTCTTTATTCCCCTCTCTTCCCTCACCCCAATGCCTCCCCCAGCCCCTTTGAAGGTACTTGGGTCTCCTGCCACCTCTGAGATGTGCCACAGGCACGGTGCTGTGTCACCACACCCTGCCACAGGCATGGGGCAGCTGCTCTCCATCCTCCCCTGGCTCAGGTCCCTCCGTGCAGATGGAGGGACAGCTGCTAATTAGCACAAACCTCGGGGGTGACATTGGCTCTGGCCGTGCTGGGGGTGGGACCATAAAGACAAGAGAGGAGATGAGGGCAGGTTCCCCCAGGACAGGTGCCATGGCACCACAGCATGGCTCTGGAATAGGAGGAGGAGGATGGCAGAGCACCTGCACTGCAAAGTGCTGCAGCAGGTTCATGCCAGGTTTGTCCTCTGCCCACACACAACAGCCCAGACAGCAAGGAGGGGTGATCTGACAACCCTGGTGATGCCACAGCACATCCCTGGCTGGAGCTCACTGCCAGCAGAGCAGC